TCCCAGACGTGCGACGAGCCCCTCGCATCAGCTTCGATCCACCGACGCCTGCGGAGCACCAGATCGAGCGGCTGCTTGCGCAGCCGACGGCCTGGCTCGGCCTGAAGGGCCGCGCACTCGAGGGTAATAGACGCATCACGCTTGAGGTTGAGGCAGGCAATGGAAACGAGCTCATTAGAATCCTCGACGACAACATCAGGGACCTGGCAGGCTCGGGCTCGCAAAAATTGGCAAGCTCATCGGCAGCAGAGCGGAGCACAGCGTGGCCCCAGTCCACAGAGTCGCCAACACGGGCAAGCTTTTGGGAGTCCTCCAGCAGGTGACCTGGGGACATGGGACAGCGAAAACTCACCCGAGCGCTCCGAGAGGAGCTGCCGGAACTCCCGCCGGAGGTCAAACTTTGGCCAGCCTCGCAGAGGCAGCACGGCCCGCCAGGAAGCCTTTGAGAATGTTAGCGTGGTCGGTGACCACGTGCAGGGCTCGGCCAGGGCCCGCACAGCGCAAGCACTCGACGATGGCCGCAAGCTCTGCACGGGGAACCGTCTGCCGAGCCGAGTGAAGCACGCCCGTGACTCCACAGTCCCAGTCGAAGTCTTCGCCACTACGGAGCCTCACAAAGGCAAGCGCAGCTCTACGGAGGACCGGAAACTTAGCAAACTGGCCACCCGTGCCGTCGGTGGCGTACAACCCTCCTGGTAAGCTGCCTGGAGTCACGGCCCCAGAGCAACGCCGCCCCTGGAGATCCCTGGAGTTGGGCACAGGAGGGAGATGAAGCCAGGGAAGGGGAATAACGCCCTCGCATCCAAACACACGGGTACTGGGCCCCCTCCTGCAGAGCACCGTGCCTCAGATGCTGGGATTCAACAATCTCTTGTACTTGGGAGGAGGCGTTGCACATACATTCCCAAAACCTGTGCGACGAGGTCTCGGGATCACGCTTGCAACGCCGACAAAGTGGGTCAGGAGCCATCTGGGCAGCGTGCCTTCTCTCCTCCGCCCAATATCCGCCAGCGACCAAGAGCCGAATCACAGCCGCAAGGTCCCGACGCCCATCCTTCTCGAGGGAGGCAGCAAGGTCCCAGACATGGTGCAGAGAGACGGGCCCCTGGATCCCTCCGCCATCGAGGTGCTCAGCAGCCTGGCGCCACCGGAGCGTGCCGATGGATTCATCAAATGCCTGGAGCAGCGGGCGTGAAGGGCCGTGCCCATCTTCCATCATCTGCCACTCCTCTCCACAAGGGGCAATGAGAGAAAAAAGGGGAGGGGTACTGCCAACCAACCGCCATGAGAGTGGCTTGAAAAGCCGCCATCGGACCACGGACCCAGGCCCCCACCCCCTTTGAGTTTTGGCCAACGAGGCCGCCCAATGCCTGGCCAGACGACGCAGGACACCAGGGCGACGTGCCAAACGAGAGAACCACGACTTCACCACACGACGGAAATGTGCTTCCGCATGTCCACGCGGATTTCTCGGATCGGTGCTGGGAATCGCCCCTGGCCTGTTCCGCGCGCCAGGGAAGGGGGGTCCAGCGCCGATCTAAGACATCCGCGTGGACCTCTGGCACAGCATGTTTAGGTTGCTTCTTGCTTCTCATATCCATGCCGAGCAGTAGTCTAAGAGATAAAGTTGCCGAGGCTGGAAGAAGAACCTCAGTGTACCGCGCCGTGGTCACAGGCCAAGGGGTCAGGTTGAGCAGTGCTCCCATGCTCGGGTCTTGTTCGTGCGTCCGTCCTTTATGCCCGCGCTCCGAAGGCAGTTTTCTCTTAGCGCGCAGGCCTTCCCTGGTGAACCTAAGCGCGGCAGGCCGCAGTACGCTTCGCTCTCCAGACAGGCTCACCTGTTCTGCGACTGCTGCATGCTGTGATTGTCTATTCGGCTTCGAGTAGAGTTGTGGCCTGAGGCCGATACATGTCTTGGGCGCTCTAATTCTGGGTCGAGCCAGCAGGGCCGACACATGATTGTGGCGCTCTCCCAGTTTCATGCTTTGAGGTTGTGCACGGATGTGCGACACAGCGTTCTGGGATGGCACTCATCTTCGGTTGATGTGTTTAGGTTGTTGTTGCTGTTGTTGTTGCTGTTGCTGTTGCTGTTGCTGTTGCTGTTGCTGTTGTTGTTGTTGTTGTTGTTGTTGTTGTTGTTGTTGTTGTTGTTGTTGTTGTTGTTGTTGTTGTGGTGGTGGTGGTGGTGGTGGTGGTGGTGGTGGTGGTGGTGGTGTGTTTTTGTGTTGGGGGGAGGGGCTGGGGCTTGGAAACAAATCGCTGCACTTGGAAGTGCTTGGAGTGGACCCATGAGCCCTTTTGTGCTAGTACTGTGACGGACAAGCGGCCTGATTCGGTCGGGGCACGAGTTCCACACGTCTCCCGCACTCGTGGGTATTTCAGTTGTAACTTGCAGCAGCGTGGCCCCGTGCACCTGAAACAAGGTGCCCACCGAACGAGCGGGCGATCATCATCAACAGCATCGTTGTCATCGCCACCACCCTTGTCGCCGCCGTCGCCGTCGACGTCGTGGCTTTGTCGTGATCGACATCATGGCCATCGTCACCAAGACTAGCATCGCCATCATTGGCAAACAAATCACCGTCGTCGTCGGCATTCCATATCGACCGCAGTCGTCGTTGCTACCAACACGGCAGCATGCTTCACAGACACACACACACACGCACATCCGACGCGCCTGCGTTCTGCAAGATTGGCCCAAGCCCAGCTCGGGGTGTACTCCAAGCTTCTGCTGTGCTCCGCCCCCCCGCGTCGCAGCAGCGATGGCCCGCAACTCGTCCAGCATTCTGGCGGTGGTCATCGATGATGCAATCACCCCTAATCCTCATAGCACAACGGGGACGCGGCTTCACTTTGGTCCCCGTCGTTGCATCTGGCATCACCGATCTGGGCGGTTGGGTTTGATACAGCTGCTGGAAAAAGACCTTCTGCCCCTCATGCTCTTGGGCCTCTCACCTCCGGCTCGCTCCCAGAGGGTTACGGTCGGTTCGCGTCGGGCCGACCGGCGGCGACCCCGCCGCCAGCGTTCAACGTTGAACGCCGGCGACGGCCCAGAATCCGTCGATGTTGAACGAGCCGACGTTTCGGAGGCGGCCGATCGTCCAAGGCCGAACGGTCCCCGCGGTGCCAGGAACCCACGCACGGGTCGGCAGGTCACGGGCCTGCCGTGGTGGTTCTTCGGTTTCGAATTGAGGCTCCGTAGGCCTCCCGGGTGGGGCCGGAGCGGATGGGGTCGGAGGATCGCGTCGCATCGCCGAGGCATCGGTGATGCGGCTGGCTTTGGAGCCCGATGGCCTCCGAGCCGACGTGGCCGATGCATCGCCCATGCCGCGGATGCCTCGCCGAGGCGTCCTCGGCGCACCGCCGATGCATCGGCCATGCGGCGCGATCCTCCGACCTCATCCGCTCCGACCCCATCTGGGAGGCCTCGAAGAGGTGGCGCTCTGCCTGGCGACCCTCTGGGCCTTCTCGCCCGCGTTCGTGAGCGGCCCGGCGCGCGCCCCGACGGCCGCCGAGCCGCAGCTGGACCAGGCGGCCCAGGCATCCGCGCGGCGTCGGAGCGACCAACTTCGCCAGGGTGACTCCTGGAGTTTGCGTCGGGCGTGCCCCTGCACAGGGGGAATCTTCAACAAAACGAGCCCCAAAAATAGCCAGGGGACGATTTTTGGACCGCTTTTGACTATTTGCTCCCTCCGAGGCCCGCCTGTGGGAGGACGTGCCCGACCGAACGTCGGAGTGGCCTTTCGCCAGGGCGACTCTTGGTGCGTGCCCACAGGGGTCCCTCCTGCACAGGCCTGCGCGGCGCTTGGCTTGGGCTTCCCCGCGGCCCCCCTGCAGCCGCGCATGGTTAGGGCCCTCCTGCCTACCCAGACCCCCGACCGATCAGGGTCTCTCCCCAGACCCCCGACGTCGTGTTTTTTTCGCAGCGTCGACCCCCAGCACAGGTCCGGACCCATTCCCCGGGACCGGTTTTTCAGCCCTGGTCGGTTTCTGACGCTCCCGAGGCTCGAAAAGGGCTCCCAGAGCCCGATCAGAACCAAAAGCCTCCCGTCGTACTTTTTGTTCGCGGCGCGAGGGGGTCTGGGTATAGCGTGTCTCTCGCGCGTGGCCGGAGGCAGCCGTCCTGGGCGCGGTCCTGGCGGCGCCCGAGGCGGCGCACGCGGCCAACCAGGGCTACGCCGTGCTGCAGCTGGGCTGGGCCGTCTTCATCATCGGCCTGGGGCCCGCGGTGCTCTTCTGGATCTACTTCAACAAGCCGGAGCTCCTGTGAGCCTCCCCGGGGCCTCAGGGGGCTCCCGTCGAAGAAGAGCAATTGGCCACGCGCAGAGGGGGGGGGGTAGGGTTATGCTGTTCCAACCTACTTTAGCCGCCCTGTCCACCAGAACGAATTTCCAGCACCAAGAAAGTACCGAAGCTGGAGGTTCTTACGTGTCGGGCCCTGGGAGGCGATACGCGTTCGATACTGTTTCGATGCTGTTCTGGATGCTCGAACTTATTTCTGGGATGTGGTCCTTAAGTACGGTCGGAGCAACATAAGGGTAAGGGGGAGGGGGGAAGGCTTCTCAGAAGCACCCTGCTCCTTAGAAGGCGCGGGCCCTGTCTATAGATGCAAGGCTGGCGCCTGGTAAGAGGCAGCCTCCTTCTGAGGAGCCTCCCCCCCTTCCCCTACCCCAATTGTGCGTTCCGCCAAAGCAAGCGGCGCAACACAGAAACTAATTCTTGGAGCTTCGCGCGGACTCCTTGGACCTGCGCTGGACCACCCTGGCGGCGCTTCCGGCGCCGCCCCTGGCGCGCTGCACGCGCCCAGGAGGGGGGACCAGCGCAGATGTAAGACATCCGCGCGGGCCGCCGACAGTTTCTGCCTTCTGCCGTTCTGCTCTGCCTCCCTCCTCGGCGCCTCGCCCTGCCCTCGCCCGTCTTGTTTTTTGAAGCAGGGGGCGCCAGATGCCGCGAGCGCCTGCGGCCCGTGCCGCGTGATCTCTGGCCTCTGGCGGGAAAAACGGTTCTGCGCACTGCAGAGGTGATGTGCCGCGGAGAGCCGTCCCTCCTGAGCGACGTACGAAGGCTGGGTCGACTGCGCCGGCATTGGCGCGTAAGTTGCCCGCGTAAGGTCGCGCGTAAGCGCCCTCGTCTCCAATGTGGCATGCCACTTCGGCGGCCCGCGTAGCAACGAGCAACGCAGCCATGCGCCAGCCTATGGCACGGCGCCTCGTAAGCCACCGCGTAAGCCACCGCGTAAGGTCGCTATGCCACCTCGCGTAAGACCCGTTTCGTCTCGTCGCTCACTTGGATCCTTCGAGTCTCGATCCTTCTTGTTAGAGCGTCGCTGTTCGTGCTTTTTGTCCATGGCGCGAGGGGGGCCTCTGTTCCCGGAATTTTAATAAGATTCAGATCGACATCCGGGCCCGTCCTTGGACGCGTCCTCCTTTGAATTTTGAGGTGTATCCATGTGTTCCCACGCATGGCATCCCAGTGGCGCAGAACATCGCTCTTTGGATGTCTTCGCCAACAACACCGCAATAACACACACGAAAGCGGTAGCGGTATCAGCAGATGGCAATGCATGAGTTGACCCATTGCCCCCGCAGGTGCGGATGAGCGTGGGCGGATTTCTCCAGGCTCAGAGCGTCAGAATGGAACAGAAGACGGAGCTCCAGATCGAGAGAGAGAGAGAGACAGATAACAAACAAATCAATGAGAGAGGAACACCCTGACTCATTTGTACGCGTAGCAGTTTCGTCACGAACCCATATTCGAGCGCCTTCAGGATGCGTTGGTGAGCAATACCGCAGACATCAGGAACGCCTTAGGCGAGTCACCCCCGCTCCCTGTGGCCCTAGAGAGGTTCCTGCCTTTTCAGCGGTATCTTTGCGTCTCTTGCGGACTCGTGGGCGGGTCTTGATGCCTCTTTGGCCTTCTTGGCGGATGAGATGGTTACGTTGCATCTGCGGGGGACCTCGCCTGTCCCCCAAATTGGTGTTTTCTCTTGCACCCGACGTGGGCTCGATGCGGACACGTCGCGGATTTGGTGTGGATTCGACGCGGATTCGATACGGATTCGACACGGATCCGACGAGCCCGACATGGATTCGACACGGATTCGACGCGGATAGGGCCGCGACGGGACAGGCAAGGTCCCCCGAGGATGCAACAGAAGGGCGGGCTGACCTCCAACGTCGTGTGTGCCTGGAGTCCGTTGGCGGTCCCCGTCCCGGCCCCTGGACCCCTCCCGAGATTGTCTCCTGGGCACCTTGGGCATCTCTCGAAGGCTTCGGTGGCTGTCGTGGGGCCTGCTCGAGTGCTCGTTCGGCGTCTCGGACGCCCTTGAGGCCAAAGATGCGAGAACTGGCAAACTCGGCCTCGCGAGCTGGCCCTCAAGGGTCCTCAAGACGGCCCCACAGATCCCCAGGACGAGGCCCCCTGGGCCATTTTGGGGCATGCTGCAGCCTCGGATTCCCAGCCACGCCTCCGAGGCCTCGCGACGAGTCGCGCAGCAAGCCTCGAGGCACCCCCCGCGGGAGCCCTGGAAGCACCCTGGGCCAGGGGCGTCCGTGGCCTTGGGAGCAATCCTGCACTTGTTTCCGGGTACTCTGGGGCAGGCAGCACCCGAGGGCGCTCCGCAGCGGCTTCCGCGCTCTCCCTCCCTTCCCCGCCCCGCAGCCGCCCCCTCCTTCCCTCTTTCCCTCTTTCCCGCTCCTGCCGCCAGACAGTTGACGATGCCGTCTCCCAGCTTGCCCGAGCGCGCGTGCGGACAGCCTCTGCTGCTCTGCGACGTTTAAAAACCCCAGAGACACGGTCTGAAGCAGCAACGCGGCATAGACATGAGCTCTCGGAGGTCCGGGCGGATTTCCTTGGATCGGGCGATGAACCCCCTCTGGCGGCGCCTCCTGCGCCGCCCCTTGGCGCGCTCCGCGCGCCAGGGAGGGGAATCCGGCGCCGATCCAAGAGATCCGCCTGGACCTCTGCAGGTCGATGCTTGTATATACAGTTTTGCCTTGAGATCTGACGTTGGCCGATCTTCAGCCATGGTGGTCGTTCGAAGGGAGGAATCGTGTCGTCTTCTTTTTCTTCTTCTTCTTACTAGTATTAGTATTCGTGTTCGTATCAGTATTATCATGATTTTCTCTTGTCCTCATTATTCATGTCATCGTACTCAGTATTGTTAGTAGCATAGATATGGCTCTCATTCTTATTATTTACCTGATCCTTCATATGATTATTCTTATCATATCAGCCAGCCTTGACTCCACACAGATAGGAGAACAGGAGGAGGACGAGAGGAGGATGGGAGGAGGACAAAAGGAGGACGGGAGCAGGACGGGAGGACGACGGGAGGAGCAAAACCAAGCGAGCGCAAGCAATCGAGCGGAAGCAAGCAATCGCAAGCAAGCAAGCGGAAGCAGGCGCACGCGAGCAATAACAAGCAAGCAAGAGCCAGCGATCAAGTGCAAGCAAGCAAGGACGAGCAAGAGCAAGCAAGCGAGAGCAAGTAGGGAGGGGGGGGCATTGGAAAAAGGGGGCGCGTGCCATTGGAAAAAGGGGGGGAGTCCCAAAGACCAATTATTGATGATGAGCTAGGACCCCTACAGTGCAATCCTATTTGGAGAATTAGGGGGGGGGAGGAGTTCTACTCCTATAGGGCAAGCCTATTTGAAGAATTACCAGTCGCAGTATTGCTGCTACTATGCGTATTATTCGTATCAATGCTACTACTACTTGCAGTACTATTAGTATTGCTATGTGTCTTGTCGTCCGAAGTGCTACTAACACTATGATAATTAGTAGCGTTAGTTTAGTTTTCGTGCTTTCATAGTACGAGTACTACTTGCATTATCATTGCCATTGATTTGCATGTGATCGTATTGTTAGTATTATGATTCACAATGATACAGTTATGAGTACTATTACTAGTAGTATTAGTATGATTGTATGTATTGTTTACGCATGCTACTATTCACGGTTACTATGATACATATCTATAGAAATACGAAGCGTTGCAAATACTTAATTATGCTCTTCTCATATCCATGTCGGGCAGTAGTTTAAGAGATAAAGCTGCCGAGGCTGGAAGAAGAACCTCAGTGTACCGCGCCGTGGTCACAGGCCGAGGGGTCAGGTTGAGCAGTGCCCCCATGCTCGGGTCTTGTTTGTGCGTACGTCCTTTAAGTCCGCGCTCCGAAGGCAGTTTTCTATTAGCGCGCAGGCCTTCCCTGGTGAATCTAAGCGCGGCAGGCCGCAGTACGACTCGCTCTCCAGACAGGCCCACCTGTTTTGCGACTGCTGCATGTTGTTATTGTCTATTCGGCTTCGAGTAGAGTTGTAGCCTGAGGCCGATACATGTCTTGGGCGTTCTAATTCTTGGTCGAGCCAGTACAGCCGACACATGATTGTGGCGCTCACCCAGTTTCATGCTTTGAGGTTGTGCACGGATGTGCGACACAGCGTTCTGGGATGGCACTCATCTTCGGTTGGTTTATTTTTGTTGTTGTGTGTTTTTGTGTTGGAGGGGAGGGGCTGGGGCTTGGAAACAAATCGCTGCACTTGGAAGTGCTTGGAGTGGACCCATGAACCCTTTTGTGCTAGTATTGTGACGGACAAGCGGCCTGATTCGGTTGGGGCACGAGTTCCACACGTCTCCCGCACTCTTGGGCATTTCAGTTGTAACTTGCAGCAGCGTGGCCCCGTGCACCTGAAACGAAGTGCCCACCGAACGAGCGGGCGATCATCATCAACAGCATCGTTGTCATCGCCACTACCCTTGTCGTCGCCGTCGCCGTCGACGTCGTGGCTTTGTCATGATCGGCATCATGGCCATCGTCATGAAGACTAGCATCGCCATCATTGGCAAACAAATCGCCGTCGTCGTCGGCATTCCATATCGACCGCAGTCGTCGTTGCTACCAACACGGCAGCATGCTTCACAGACACACACACACACACATCCGACGCGCCTGCGTTCTGCAAGATTGGCCCAAGCCCAGCTCGGGGTGTACTCCAAGCTTCTGCTGTGCTCCGCCCCCCCCCCGCGTCGCAGCAGCGATGGCCCGCAACTCGTCCAGCATTCTGGCGGTGGTCATCGATGATGCAATCATCCCTGATCCTCACAGCACAACGGGGACGCGGCTTCACTTTTGGTCCCCGTCGCTGCATTAGGCATCACCGATCATGGCGGTTGGGTTTGATACAGCTGCTGGAAAGACCTTCTGCCCCTCATGCTTTTGGGCCTCTCACCTCAGGCTCGCTCCCAGAGGGTTACGGCCGCTTCGCGTCGGGTCGACCGGCGGCGACCCCGCCGCCAGCGTTCCACGTGGAACGCCCGCGACGGCCCAGCATCCGTCGATGTTGAACGATCCGACGTTTCGGAGGCGGCCGATCGTCCCAGGCCGAACGGTCCCCGCGGTGCCAGGAACCCGCGCACGGGTCGGCAGGTCACGGGCTTCCCGTGGTGGTTCTTTGGCTTCGAATTGAGGCTCCGTAGGCCTCCCGGACGGGGCCGGAGCGGATGGGGTCGGAGGATCGCGCCGCATCGCCGAGGCATCGGTGATGCGGCTGGCTTTGGAGCCCGATGGCCTCCGAGCCGACGTGGCCGATGCATCGCCCATGCCGCGGATGCATCGCCGATGCGTCCTCGACGCACCGCCGATGCATCGGCGATGCGGCGCGATCCTCCGACCCCATCCGCTCCGACCCCATCTGGGAGGCCTCGAAGAGGTGGCGCTCTGCCTGGCGACCCTCTGGGCCTTCTCGCCCGCGTTCGTGAGCGGCCCGGCGCGCGCCCCGACGGCCGCCGAGCCGCAGCTGGACCAGGCGGCCCAGGCATCCGCGCGGCGTCGGAGCGACCAACTTCGCCAGGGTGACTCCTGGAGTTTGCGTCGGGCGTGCCCCTCCACAGGGGGAATATTCCAAAAAAGAGCTTTTTGGACCGCTTTTGACTATCTGCGAGCATTCTCTGACTATGTTATAGGTTCCCTCCGAGGCCCGCCTGTGGGAGGACGTGCCC